TTTTGCTGTCAAGAGTTCAAGTTCAGTTAGTTTTTTTTTCAGTGTTACAGAATCAGTTTATGGAAGAACTTTTGAAACTTTTAGTGTTTTGTTTAAAGCTCCTGAAAACTTTGATATTTCTCTGTAACATTAAATATTCATGGCTGAATATGCAACAATTAAAATTAATTTTTGGAGAATAAAAACTCAGGAGCTTTGTGGGTGTTTTTTGATCAGATGAGACTAAAATAGTTTCACAAACTCAAAATCTCCTTTTACCTTTTGTCTTAATGAATTCAGTATGTCCGATGCTTCAGCACTAATTCCATTGATATATCAAGAGTAATGTCAGGCATTTCCCTTAAACATGTTAAGCTACCATCAATGAAACTTTTTTCCCCTTTAAATCAGCACATGATTGCAAAACAAACTCTTAACTGAACATCTAGCAGCTTTGTTTTAATGTTAAACTTCTTACTTGCATGCTGTGTGCTGGTTTAAACTGCTCACGTGGACGAGTCCCAGCACAATTTGCATAACAGAGCACGCTGTTGTTACAGTCGTGCTACAGGCTGGGATCATAGCTTGAGCCAGAGATTCATGGATCATCACACACACATATACATTACAGGATCCTGTTTGACACACTGCTTTAAAAACTAAGACCTGGATTTTACACAGTGTCTGTCAACTGAATAGAAGAGGTATGGTTAAATGACAGAGAAATTGGTGCATTTATACACAGTAGATTGCTATTTTGGGAGATGAAACCATGTTGTTATTTCTCACAGATTTGTGTCATAAAACTGAGCGGAGAAATTCCTCTGCTGTTGTGTGGAGGATTTTCCTCAACAGCTGCAATAAAAGCTGCTTCACCCTGCCATAAGGAGCTGCTAACTCACCAAAAATAATGTCATTAGTGGCTTTCAGTGGAGCGCTGTAGTGTCCCTTAAAGAACAGTCTTTTAAAGAAGAGTAAAATATTTAAACACTGAATCAAGCTTTTTGTTTATGTTGGATGAATATCAGAACAAAATATCGGCTGTTTTCAGCTTCAGTCTGAAAGTCACATCTGCTCCAAGTCATTCGCAGCCAGCTCCTCTCACTCAACCCTGTCACACACACACTGAGTCACACACACACACACACACACACACACATATTCTCTCCACGCCGAGCCCCGTCACCGTGATGTCACCATGTCCTCTGCCTTTCCATTCCGCAAAAAATATAAGAATAGCGTTGCTACGGAGACAGAGCCGGGACGTTGTTCCACCGTGGTGACGTCTGCCGGGCCGGCCGAAGGATCGGCCAATTGCGAGTGGACAAGCAGGCGTTATTAAAAGCAAAGCTGCTATTTTTGGGAGCAGCTGTGGCATTACTCAGCAGAGTGCAGCAAAGTCACACATATACATTCCAGCAGTTGGGGAACAGACTGTGTGTGTGTGTGTGTGTGTGTTTGTGTGTTTGTGTGTTATGAAAGAAAATTCGAGGTGACCAGAGAGGATTTCTGCTGCATCCTGTCATAACAGAGTCGTCGCTGAGATAGTGAAGCTGTAAAGTGTCTGTGTGTTTATGTAACGTGGCCATGGCTAATAAAGCGTTTCTTTCACTGCAGGGGAATTTACAGAACGGAGGATTTAGATAAGCTATAGATAATTAAACTGTAGATTTTTTTATTTTTTTTTGCTGTACTGACTCTGTCTTTCTGCTGAATTAGAGACAGATGGCAGAGGTTATTTATATAATAGTAAAAAGCCCTTCCTGTATCAGTGCTCATAACTAGATAAGCCGCAGGCTCATGTTACTGATGAACAGACGAACATGCTTCCCATCATGCGAACCTCCAGAAGGCCAGCAGCAGAGCTCGGGACAGGACTGCTCACTTTGAATTGTGCTGTCACGTCCACTGTCCTGTCACCTGCAGTGCAACTGAAGCGTCAGCTAAACGTTTAAAGCTGCACAGTTAAAATACACCTTTTAGAGCCTCGTCAGGTGCTTACTTTGGTTTTCAGGAGGCAAGTTTAGTGTTTTCCTATAAACCAGCACCAAACGAAAGTTAGCAATTAGCTGGTGAACATAGTGAGGCATTTAGCAGGGGAAGAGACTCAGGAGCTGCTAGGGACTAAAACACATCACAAAAGGAACATTAATGCAGCTTTAAGTGAAATAACATGACCATTTATTTGCTGTTTGTAAGTGGCCGAGTGTGAAATGTGGCTGCTCTCTGTTCTATATCACTGTAACTNGTGAAATAACATGACCATTTATTTGCTGTTTGTAAGTGGCTGCTCTCTGCTCTATATCACTGTAATGGGATTACTTTGAGTTTTGGACTGTTTGTCGTTCAGACAAGCAATCTGAAAAAATCTGATTGTGCTCTGGAAAATTGTGACAGCATTTTCCCTTTTTTTGATATGTCATAGCTCTTTAGGTTGATCAGCAAATAACAACTGACACATTAATCAGTAATGAAAAGCTCATTTTTTATCAGTGTAGAACTGTGTTAGTGCAACTCCAGCTTCTTGGAACACATTCTGCTTCGGTTGAACCGATGTGAAGGGTTAGGAGGACACAGAGGACAACTCCCTCGGGCCAGTGAGGTCATCAGATGTACAGACTGTGGTCACTCGTGTATGCAAAAGAATCTACGCTGTGTTTTTGAACTGTGGTGCTTGTCAGGTCACATCCAGGGTGTGGGGATTACAGAGCTCAGTACGTATGAGCTGCCTCTGTAATCATGTACTACAGATGATATTTGTTTTTGATTGAGCTCAGAAAGGCTAGAACTGGAATATGAAGACTTTGGGTCACTGTGCAGTCACATACCTGTGGATTCTCTAAAGGTCTTATTATAAACGGTTTCATGTCCCTTTTCTTTAAAGACTCTTTCTGAAAACCGTCGTCCTCACCATCGAACAGTTAAATGATCGTAGCTTTTGTACGGTCTCACCCTGGAGTCTTTTTCATGGTGGTCCTGATACCTCGTACGCTCTCTGAATGTGCTCTAGCTTCGCCACAGGTGAGGGCAACAGGAAGTACGTGGGTAAGATAGATTTCCTCTGCCAGTGAGATCAGGTGACTGGTGTTAAGCTGCTGGCCCTGCAGAGTTGCTCTCTTCCTAGAAAACACAAGCTTGAGTTACCAGGCTGTTAGTTTCTCTGCCACTAGTTACCACGTTTTCTTTTCTTTTCTTGGTTTCCTCTTTAAAGTAAATGTATTATCTCACAGTTACTGTTCCTCATGTGTTTTACAGAGGATCAGATGGTGAGAATGTTGATTATTATTGCACCATTATCAGAAATATTAAAAAGATGACACTTCCTTTGACAGGGGTTGATTGTGGTTCAGTGGTTCTAGTTGATGGAATGATGTGAAAAGTAAATTTGGCATAGCTTGTGTTTTCTTAAGCGTAATTGTCTCTGCTGCCTCTGCTTCTTATTTGAGGGCACAAGTGCATTCCTTATCCACCCACGTCTCCTTTGTTTCTTCTTCCTGTAGCTACGCAATTATATAACCACTCAACTTATGTAATGGAAGTTAACCGCGGCAAGTGATGACATAAGTTCTGCAAAGCATTTTCTGCCATTTTAAGATTTGGAAAAGCGTGATAATATTCTTTTGCCATCTGTTGTGTTTCGCCGAGCTAAAATGTTGTACGTTTCTCGCACACAGAGAGAATTTGCAACAGTAAGAGCGACAGTGTAGATAATCCTGAAGGTACCGTGATTCCATGTTATCTGCTGTTGTTGATCAGATCTCTGCCATCTGGGAGTGATTACCAAGAGAGGAACTGACTGCGAGATAACAAAAACAAGTTCCTCTCTAAAGATGCTGCTCACCAGGAAAAAACCTCCTGTCTGTCTGTCATTCCTCGACAGACACACAACACACACACATTCAGCGTCCTGGGGTAAAAATCATTAAGGCACACACCCTGAAACACTTAGTAAACAGCTGGTGGCGATGTACAAGACAGTCCTGGGTAATTCAGTGGAAAATGAACACAAGGAAAAACACAGTGATGAGTTAGTCTGTGTTAGCTGACGAGGTGTAACAACTTCCATCCGCTCATGGTGTCACTATGTGAGAGTTTACTGTATCTATATGAAGGAAAACCTGTTTTCTCAAATATTTTAGAGTCTTTTTAATGAATTCTTCCTCCTCTGGTGATCATCAATACATCACGTTACTTATGTGCTTCAAATATTTTGTGTAACAAAACTACAAATACTGTCACAGCTAAATAGAATTAGTTCCCATTAGGGTTGAACAATTAATCGAAATATTAACGAAATCAAAAATCGCAGGAGCTGTAATTTTTTTGATAAAGGTAAAATGTGTCACAACAGACCATAAATGAACCGTTGTGGTGCTACAGAGACGCCCCCAGCCTGCAAATCATATTCTCCAGATGTGAGGGAACATGCTCTTTTGCTTTCAGTCAAGGTGAAATGCAAAAATTACCTGAACTCATATTGCAATCCCAATATCTGTCAAAATAATCACAATATAATATATAATATATATATAATTATATATATTAACTTCAACAGAATAAGCAAAGGGAAAGAGAAAAAGAAAGCTTCAAAATCATCATCATTTTAATTCTATTTGGATACAGTTTGAGTTCAGTTACAATCTACTGTAGTCATCCCTTACTGATGAACTCAAGCAAACATTCAAGTTTTAATAACATTCATACACATTAACACAGCGATGAGAGAACAGGAGATAAAAGTCACAACATCACAATGCAACAGTCCTTTAAAACAGATAGTGTATATATAGAATGTGAAATGATCATTGAATTTATATTTATCTTTCACGTCTTATGGGTCAGAGAATAAAAACCAAGCTCTGAATATTTAAACATTTTCACTGTAAATGATGGTTGGGAGACTGTGGTACAACAAGATCTCTTTATTCCAGGGTGAATTTAAATAAATGAATGTAGGTGTCATGTGAGAAAATCATAAGTTGGATTAGTTTCATCTAAATGTTGTGTTCTTTGTCTTTCAGAATTCAAAGAGTGCCCAAGGCCTGGTGGGACTAAAGAACCTAGGAAACACTGTAAGTAACAGCAGCAACACATTACACAGAATCACAAGTGTGTTAGAGCGACAGCAGTTTGTTGGTACCTGGCGGAGTCTCTGCCAGGCTCCAGGCTGTCAGTGTGTGTGTAGTGTAATCTAATCAGAGAGCTCTGAACTGTGGACTGGCGAGGACTCGTTCTCTCTCTCTGACTGGTTTGATCTTACCAAACTGCACGTGTCTCGTGAGGACACGTGATGGGAGCAGTGTATACACAGACACTGCAGTGTCTTTGACAACACATCTGTATGTGTGCAATATTTCTTCAAACCCAGTTAGTATGAGGTCTGAGCCAGAAGCCAATTAGCTTAGCTTAGCATAAAGACTGGAATAAGAGGAAACATCTCGTTTGTTTAGAACATACAAAAACCAAAGTGTCAAAATTAAAATATTGTGGGTTTATGTGCAGGAGCTTATGTGCAAGACTATTTCTTAGACTGTCACACTGGTTTCCCAGGAGACTTGTCATCACTGTGAGGTTGCCAGGCAACCAGCTGAGTCACCCTCCCTCCATAAACTTCCTTAACTTGTCATTTTTAGTCTTCCATTTTTGCCCAGAGTAAAGAAACAACATCAAAGTGTTCATTAGTGAGCCAGGCTAGCTGTTTCCCCCTGCTTCCACTCGTTATGCTAAGCTAAGCTAACCTGCTCCATGTACTGTAGCTACATATTTAGTGTACAGACATGAATGTGGTGTCAATCTCCTCTAACTCTTGGCAAGAAAGCAAATAAAAGTGTGTCCTTTGATGTTGAACTATTCCTTTAATTTGCTAGATTCAGCTGCAGTGAGTCTGTGCTAATCATTGTATATTTTCAAGTAGATTGTAAGAATATAACAATGTAAATAATGCACAGAAACAGACAGATATTTCACTATGTATGTTACAAACACATATGAAGGACAGATAAAATATAACCCTACAAAAACAGCAGTTATTCTGAGTGTAAATGAGAGTCATTGATGAATGAGGAAGGATTGAACTGAATGTTATTTCATCTGTACGGGAGTTAAAGTGTTTGTGATGTTGTTGTTTTTTCCTTGCAGTGTTTCATGAACAGTATCCTGCAGTGTCTCAGCAACACACACAGCCTGCGAGACTACTGTCTGCACAACTCGCACCGCAGAGACCTTAACAACAACAGCCGCACCAACACAGCCCTCATGGAAGGTGAGAGACGTGTCACTCAGGCCCCCTAGAGTCCAGACTAAAAACTCCTCACAGCTGCTCACGACCAACACGCTCATTCCCTCTCCATCTCCCGATTCAACTTACATCTCTCATAACACGTGTCAGCAAAATAGACAAACTAGTTCTTATTATGTAGTTCTGAAAGTGACTATGTTTGTTTTCAAGGTCTTTTAAGTGTTTGGTTCTGTATGAGAATCTGACATGAGATAAGAAAGTGAGGATGCACCTTCAGTTCACCGACAAACCTGAACGCTGAGTTACAGTTGGAGAATTAGCCAAGTGCGTTTTATATCTCAGCGTGTGAGTAACCTGAGTGTTTGTGTTGATAGAATTTGCCAAGCTGATACAGACCATGTGGACGTCGTCCAGCAGTGAGGCAGTCAGCCCGTCTGAATTCAAAACTCAGATCCAGAGATATGCTCCCAGATTTGTGGGATACAAGTAAGTTTTATCACTTTCTTCACTACGTTTTGCTGCCAGACCTTTTTCTGAATTTAGTTTTTGCCTGAGAAGTGACTGCAAGATCACAATAACTCAGAATACAGTTGTAGTGGCTGATATTTTCAGTTCTGACTGGCTGTGTGTGTGTGTGTGTGTGTGTGTGTGTGTGTGTGTGTGTGTGTGTGTGTGTGTGTGTGTGTGTGTGTGTGTGTGTGTGTGTGTGTGTGTGTGTCCTGTAGCCAACAGGACGCTCAGGAGTTCCTGCGTTTCCTCCTGGACGGGCTGCACAATGAGGTCAACAGGGTCACCGTCAGGCCGAGAGGCACTGTGGAGGACTTTGACCACTTGCCGTAAGTAATCTCCCTCACAAACTGTGTGTGTGTGTGTGTGTGTGTGTGTGTGCGCGCACCTGCACTGACAGTCTGCTGAACAGCAGCCAGGATGAGGAGACCTAAACAGGGAAATCTGTTTGTGCCACACCAGGAATATTGTTGTTTTAATTATGAAATATGCTGCAATGTTATAGAGAATGTAAACAGAGCCACATCGTTAGGCTTCTTCATCAATAAGCTTTAATTTAAGTCTGTGTGCGACAGTTTCACCTCCTTTGTTGAGCTGTTGTGTCGCTGGGCCCGGATCAGCTTGATGCTCCAATTCTTCTTGGACATAATTGACAGTTATCTAACAGCAGCTTGTTTAAGGGTCAGAGTTAATCTCTGCACATTTCAGCATTGGCCTCAAAACAGGTTCATTCTGCCTGAATATCCAAAACAATGGAGAAAAAAATGTTTTTCCAGGTTGAAAATGTGTTTCAGGTTTGACACTGTTTTTGGAAAGTGTCTTTATAAGCCACTAGTCTCACAGTCTGTCTCCTACATGTTTAGAATAAAGTAGGTCAGGTCCGTAATCCATCACACTGTCAGTCCATTCACTGTGTCAGGACAACTGAGTGTTTTCATCAGTGTGTATTCCTCCGTCTTCCTCTCAGTCACTCTGTATTTAATAATTAAAAATAAACAGTTTCATCTCTGCTCCATGTTCAGGGATGAAGAGAAAGGGAAGAAGATGTGGAGTAAATACCTGGAGAGAGAAGACAGTAAGGTCGTGGGTGAGTAGGACGCAGGACACCCAGACCAGACTCTTGTAAAAAACATTTCTAATGCATTTAAAGATCATTTTGTTTTAAAACATTTAAAAACATTATTTATAATTTTGTATATAATTAAATTTTTTTAACAAAAAGCTCCACTGATCTAGAAAATATATAACATTCAAATAAAAAAACACAAGAAAAACAGAGCTCCATCCAACAGATAGATTTTCTTGATATATTTCTCAGCCTGTGAGTCGATGCAGAGATCTGTGGTTTTTATCTGACCTCATGTCTCCTCCTCCTGCAGACCTGTTTGTGGGACAGCTGAAGAGTTCTCTGACCTGCAGCCACTGTGGCTTCTGCTCCACTGTCTTCGACCCCTTCTGGGATCTCTCCCTACCTATCGCCAAGGTTAGGAAACACACACACACACACACACACACACACACACACACACACACACACACACACACACACACACACAGATGACAGAGACATAACATGTTTGAGAAGGCTAACAGACACAAATATCAACACAGTCAGTGGTACAGATGTGACTTTCTGTTTGTTTCTCAGGATGATCTGAACTTTTTCTGTGTTAGTTCACATCACAGCTCATAACACGAGCTTCTCGGTTTCCTCCTTGTCTCTGTTTGTGCTTTGCTTTGTGTGTGTGTGTGTGTGTGTGTGTGTTGTGTGGTTGCCTTGTGTGCGTGCTAATGTCATTGCATCTATGTTTGTGTCCAGAAGGGCCACGGTGAGGTGAGCTTGATGGACTGCGTGCGACTCTTCACCAAAGAGGACGTCCTGGATGGGGACGAGAAGCCGGTAGGTATCAGTGCGAGATCCAGCTGGAGGGGATTGCTGGATTGGTGTTGCTGGATTGAAACCAGCTCCTTGTAAACACTGACTGAACCGTCTCCCATGTTTCCTCTCCACAGACCTGCTACAGGTGTAAAGCCCGGAGGAGATGCACAAAGAAGTTCACAATACAGAAGTTCCCCAAGATCTTAGTGCTGCGTATCCTTTCCTCTGGACGTCGGTGTCTGATACTGACATGTTCATTCATGTATCTGCAGTGAGCCTGAAGCAGCGAGAGCATGTTAGTGTCTGGTGTGTGGATTTTGGATTATGGATTATTATACAGATACTGTAGTTTAAGAATTACTATGAGACTTGCCAGAACATTAATAGTGTGTATTATTTCCTATTGGTATAAATGAACAGTGAGAGGGAAAACTATTTTTGTGTGGTTTACAAACAGTTTGTAGAAACATCAGCTCATTAACGTCCATGCAGAATAAAAATGACTGTATGTTGGCGTCTTGGACCTGCTGCTTTCACAATGTTAAAACAATTATTAAAAGAGAAACGCTCAGTCCATTATAATCAGCTGTAATGAGCACTGACATCCATGAAATGACCAAAAGTTTATCTGAGCTTCCAATTGGCTCTAATTTCTTTGTCAAATCAGCTGTTGACTCGTATCTGATTTTGAAGCTTCAGTGACCTGTGACCTGTGGGGACCTCCACCCAGTGAGGAACCTTGTATGTAGCTGTACAAAATGTTGATTTAATGTATTGAAAGCTGCGTGGTGTACAGTGTCGTTGGTCCTTGACTCCGCCTCCTGTCCAGACCTGAAACGCTTCTCTGAGGCACGAAGAACCAGCAAACTGTCCACCTTTGTCAACTTCCCCATGAAGGATCTCGACCTGCGGGAGTTTGCCTCCGAAAACAGCAGTAAGTAGATTGTCATACTTCAGATGTGTCATACTTCAGAGACTCATGTTGGTGTAAAGCACTAGTAACTGTGGGGTGAAATGTTGTTTTTGTTTGTGCTCTGTTGCAGTAAATGCAGTGTACAACCTGTACGCAGTGTCCAACCACTCAGGCACCACGATGGGCGGTCACTACACAGCTTACTGTCGCAACCCCAACTCGGGAGAATGGTACACCTTCAATGACTCCAGGTGCGTTTGAACAGTCCAATCAAGACATCAGAGTTTGTTAATGTCCATCATGATGAGAAGATACACGACTATTGCCTTCAGCACATTCATAAACACAAGCAGAGTTTTTCATAGGAATTGTGTTAACAAAAAAAAAGCACTTGTTTTCATGTTACATATATTATATACAGCACTGTTCTCCCACAATGCATATAGAAAATATAGATATAGAAAAAACAAACAAAAAATGAATATATTTCAAGTGTGATTGGCAGTGACTCTCTGAAGTCACAGTTTCTGTATGTTCAGTTTTTGTTTGCTACTTGCTAAAACAGTGATGATTAGTATATAGCACATATACAGAATGAATATGTCTGGATTTCAGAATACACTCATGTTGTACCAGTGTCATCCAAACTGATTTTATTGTGAAAATAACAACTATACATCACGCAGTGACTCCCGTTAGGGGAAGAAGTAGTCCATGGTTTTTATATGCAGTTTGGATTTTCCCTCTATAGACGTCTAAAGACCTGTCTCAGGGTTAAATTATGACCTGACTCTGTCTTCACTGTAACTCTCTGACCCTCTCTTCCTCTCTCCAGAGTAACGCCAATGTCCTCCAGCCAAGTGCGCAGCAGTGACGCCTACGTCTTGTTCTACGAGCTGGCTTCCTCCTCGCGGATGTGAAGCCTCCTGGAGGACGACGGGCCGCAGCACCACTCTGACTGATGGACGGACGGATGGATGGAAAATGAGAGTGATGGTGGAGCCAGGCCTGTTGTGGACTTGTATTTGGACATATATCACACACACACACACATATACACACACACACACACACACACACTCACATATGAAGGTACACACCTCTTCCAGCCTGGAGGCTGCGTCTCTCCGCAGAGAGAGCTAGAGAGGGGAACACTCTGGAAACCACAGGAACCTGATCAACCAGCCCTGCTTTCTTTCTCTCTCTGTCTTTACTCTCGTGTCTTGCTCATTCTGGGTGGAGGTGTGTGTTTACTGTGTGTGTGTGTGAGTGTGTGTGTAAGTGTGTAAGTGTGCGAGGCTGACACAGGGCAATAATCCCGTCTGACCGACCAGCCGGTGAATCGGTCTCCATCTCAGAAGTCCCTCTCTATGCACTGCAAACCGAACTCTCCTGACTGCGCCTTCGCTTCTTTCTCTTCACGTCTTGATCTTCTCGTTTGCCTCAAACCATTAAAACTGACTTGTTGCATTTTTTTTGACTTTTTTTCTGCTTTGAATTTATGTTGTTTTTATGTTTTTTTTTTTTGTTTTGTTTTGTTTTTTCGTGGGGGGTGGGTGGGCGGTTATTACCCCAGCACCATGAGAATCATGATCATCACCACCACTTTGGACTATGAATAAACTGAGAGTGTGACTGTAACAGAACTGGTCCCGGTTATGAAGAGCTGACAGCGGCCTGCTTGGTTTTCATGGCTCTCCCTTCCACTGCAACACTCCCATGTCTCTGTTAGCATCCTCTTCACCTCTTCTCTCTTTCTCTTAGTGGCTGGGGAGGCCAGTGGCACTGTGAGCGTTACATGTTTCAGAGGACAAACCCTCTAACTTGTGTTTTATTTAATTTTGTTTCTCCCACGTGTGGCTGCTACTGATGTTTTAAAAGTGCTGTGAATGGATGAATGGACAGTCCAGCGCGGATCTGCTAAGGATTAACTAAATAGACGATAATAACGGTAACAATCCTCATCGTCAGTATGAGGTCTTTTCTTCCTCTCTTGTTTCATGCCATTGAACAACACGGAAAGAATGTTTTAAAGAAGAAAAAAAAACAAACACTATATCTGTATATTTTTATATTCTGATGCAATATAGAGAATGTACTATTCAATGGTGCTGAAAATGACCCATAACTGTTTTCAGTTGGTTTATTTACCAGGTTTCAAGAGAGAAAAAAAAGTTATTATTTATGCTTACAGGTGATAATGTGATGAGTCACACTTTTTAACAGTGGCAGTCAAACACATGAGTATATAAATATATATATATCTATATATATATATATATGAATAAAAGTCAACAAAACAGTGGTTTTACTTTGAGTCTTTGTCTTTTTTGGTTTAACTTTTATCAGCACATGAAGATTTGACTCAGACATGGTCACTTACAGATTGTGGAGCTTCAAGGGGGAAACTACAGTGGCGACTAGTGGACAGGTGAGGAACAGCACATGTGCAATGACAGGAAACTCATCATGATGACAGTTTAACAGTAAAAACTCTAGGAGTGGGTGTGGTGGGAACAGATCCAGATGATTGGTGTAGTATCCAATCACAAAGAGGAATCTTTAATATGAAATAACCAGAGCCTGAAGCTGATTAAGTGCCGTCCGTCTGTAAAAAGTGTCGTTATGGAACTGAAGTAAACTCACACTTGAGTGATATAATTCATCTTAAGTGCTGACAGCTCAAACGACTCTCTTATCAGTTTAACACCGCAGAGACAGGTACCGTGTTGTTTTCATGAATCCCCTCTCAGTAATCACTACGGAAGTGCAGCGGCCTGGCCTACTTCCTGCCGCTCCATTATCCGTACGTGGCCTATTTCTGTGGTCCGAGCTCTGCGGGCCCCAGAGCGCGAGCTGATGCCAGCAGCCAGGAATAGTCCTATAGGCTGAGGCTCTGCACGCGCCCTCATCTCAACGGAGGGATCCATCCATCCTGTCAGACATCTTCCGTAAAGATAATACACGTGGAACCTGATCCGTCATCCACGCAGTGATACATCATCTCGACGCGGATTAGTTGATGTTCAAGGAGGAACATCCATCATATCATCACACTGATATAACGAGAACTGGAGACTGTTTAATCCTGAAATGTGGAACAATGAGCTCATTGCTTCTTATTCTTATTGTGCTGTTCACTGTGAACTGATCCCTATGAATCTCGAAATTGTGAGATACAAAAATCATAATTATGAAATACAAAAGTCATAATTATAAGATAAAAAGTCAAAATTATGGGATACTTTAGCACAACAGTTGCAGCAGCTCTTTGATTTTTCTATTCAATGTGACACTGAGATGGATTGTAAGTTCATAGAGGACTACTTTAAATGTGGCTTTACAACTAATGAAATACTTAATTTGCTTGCAAATTCACATGGGATGGTACTGAGCAAACGCACCCTTGAAAGGATTTTGAGAGAGAAGAGGCTCTGCCGTAGAAAAATATGACTTTTTATCTCATAATTTTGATTTACCGTGGGGATATTTCTTTCACTGGCGGAAACAGTCTTCCATAGATCCCACTGATCCCAACATGCAAGTGTTAGATATTAAAATGAGTCAGACCTTAGCTGAGTTACAACTTTAACTGTGGGTGAGGTGTCTGTCTCTCTATCGTCAAATAAGACCAAACAAAATCTGAATATTTTAAAGTGTGTCTATGTAACTTGTGCTCGACAGCTGCCACTGTGGCCACAAGTGGTAATTACAGGGTGAGTGTAGTACAACACCAGCAGTAGTCACAAAGTCAGCAGCAAAGTCACACAGCAATGTCTAGTATATTATAATATTTCCAATGAAGTTTACTGGGAAAATGATGTAAGTTGTAACTTATTATAGGAAAAACAGAAATTTCCTTGACAGAAAAGCTAATTTTAAGTAAAGTAAATCTTCGTGTCTGTTGTTATGAACCAAAACAGCAAAAGCAAATTCCTTGTATGTAAAAACCTACTTGGCAATAAAAGTCATACTGATTCTGATTCATTTATTATTTATGTATCATATCTGATCTTCATATCTGTTAAATTATGTAATTGTCAGTACATACATTTTTTCAGATGAACTACTGTTCTCTGACTCAATCAACCAACTGAACACTGTTCATATTTTTTCCTAAAATGACTACCAATTTCTTCTCTTCTTCTTTAGGGAACTTCTTGGAAATTATTAATAAATGAAATTGAAGTTAAAGACAAAATACAGTGTTACTATCTAAAGCTAACAATAGCTAATGTTACTGCTATAAGCTAATGGTCATAGCAGACCAAGTAACACAGATAAACTTGTCTGGGTCCTGGGCCTGAGTCTGGCACATATGCATCCACATCTGGGCCGGTTGTGGCTGTTATCCTCCGGCGGTGACTGACAGCCGGAAGATTTTCTGTGTGTGTGCCAGAATTGGTCCAGATGTGGAAGTAGCACCTGACAGTCATGCTGTATATGGGCCAGATTTGGGCCGTGGAACTGGGCGTATACTGGCCAAGTATGGACAGGATTTATTTTGCTGTCTGGGAAGGCTGTAGTAGGAAAGTGAGTGTATTTAGTAGAGCAAGGGTGCATTATATTTTTTCTGAATTCAATTCAATTCAATGAATTCATTTGTATGAGGATGAAATTTGCCAAATTTTCTTACAGAAGTTAGATAGTTGCTTTAAAAGTTATCTAAATACCAGATGATTTCAAGGTTTAAGAGACAGTCTTACTTTCCATTGAGTTTAGTCTTCAATCCCTACAATCACCAAACCAGATAAAGGTACAGCTACAGAACTCCTGATCCTCAGTTTATGTGTGCTTTGTCTTAGTCATTTTATTGACCTGAACCACCTCTCACGAATTTCTCTGTTGTGAACTTTGAAACTGATACTGAGGTAAAGGTGTTGCCTTATAAATGCCTTTAGTATCACAGAAGAAGAGGAAGCAGTCTGAAGCTTTGACACACATTCTCACGGTGGATTTAAATTCTAAAAGTTATTTCTATAATTAAAAACCAGGAATCCTTATATGGCAGCCTTACATGGTATGTTATTTTAAGTGATTTAGAAAGACAACTGTAGTTGAGGTGTGTAGATGGGATTTAATAATTGTTTTTCAGGTACAGAGCCGAGCCCGTCCCCTGTGGTTCTGCTGTTACTGGGTGAGAAACAAAGTGGGAAGAGCTCAGCAGGAAACGCCATCCTGGGCAGACAAGCCTTTCACAAGAAAACAACTCGCAGCTCCAAGGAGACTGGTGCCATCTTTGGAATTTTCGTTAGTTAGTTAGTTAGTTAGTTAGTTAGTTAGTTTTCATTTTTGTTAGATAGTATTCACTTTCGCAGATCTGTACAGAAACACCAACACATGCACATTACGGATCATCATACAGCAATAAACTTAACACATCATAACATAACAATTATGTGTTGTATCATCACATGAACACGTGATTGATCACCTCAGTATCTGAGCAGTAGTTGATGTACACTTTTACACTTCAGTCATCATATCTGAATCTAAAGTCTTTCTTGACCTTGACTAAATTTGATCAACCAGGTGACAGTGGTGGACACCCCAGGGTGGCTGTCCCACTCCACCACTCCAGACAGAGTGTCCCAGGAGATCTGTAGAGGTCTGACCCTCTGCCATGCAGAACCAGATGTCATCCTGCTGGTGCTGCCCACTACCACCACCTTCAACCAGCACACATGGAAGGCTATGGAGGCCCAATTCAAACTGCTCCAAACCCCTATCTGGCAGCGAGCCATGATCCTCTTCACACATGGAGACAAGTTAGGTAAGCTAATGATCGTTTAGTTAATTCAGTCATTCCTCATTCCTCCATGTGTAATTGTCTTTGCCCTGTGGTTCCCAACGGGGGATTAGCAAACCTCAAGTGCTCCAAAGATACATAGGTGACCTTTGTGAGATGTCCTCTGTCTAAATGAACTCACCAGAGCTGGTCAGATCGGTGGTAAGAGCAGGTTGATTCCTCAGCAGTAATCAACTGTGTGTATGAAAGAACAAGAGAGGACAATGGTCATGTTTTATGGACAATACCCAATACAGTGACACAGTCATAATAAAGTGGGTTTAATTTCATATAAATAAAATCAATGAGACAGGACCGATACTGTCTCAATTTTAAATAGAAATAGTAAAGTGGAACAAATAAACGTCATAGTATAGTAAAGCATGAAAAATCATGGTATAGAAAATTAAAAAAAATTCATAGTATAGTGAGGCATAAAAACGTCACAAAACATCGTAGTATAGTAGTAAGGAATAAAAAAGTAAAACAAACGTCATAGCACAGTAAAGCATAAAATCGTCATAATATAGAAATGCATTAAATAAATGAAAAAACGTCATATTATACTATGGCATAAACTTTTCAAAAAATGTAATATTAAGGCATAAAAAAGTCATAGTTAAGCAAAGAATAAAATCGTTAAAAAACTTCTTAGTATAGTAAGGCATAAAAATGTCAAAAAAACATCTTAGTATAATAAGGCATAAAAAGTCAAAAAACGTCATAGTATAGTAAGTCATAAAGATGTCAAAAAACTTCATATTATAGTAAGTCATGAAAATGTCAAAAAACTTCATATTATAGTAAGTCATGAAAATGTCAAGAAATGTCATAGAATAGTGAGGCATATAACATCATAGTAAAGTTTGGCATTGAAATGTCATAGTATTGTAAGGCACAGAAATGTCAAAAAAACGCCATTGTATAGTAAGGCATAAAATTGTAAAAAAAAAAAAAGGCATATTATATTGAAACCCTCATGAAACCCTCATTGTAGAGTAAGCCATGAAATTATCATAGTGTAGTAAGGCATAAAAATGTCAAAAAATGTCATCGTATAGTAAGACATGAAAACCTCATAGTATAGTACGCCATAAAAATGTCAAAAAAATATCATAGTATGGTAAGGCATAAAAATGTCAAAAAAAACATCATAGTATAGTAAGTCAGAAAAATGTAAAAAATTGATAGTGTAGTAAGGCATGAATACCTTATAGTATAGTAAGCCTATTAATGGTCATAGTATAGCAGGGCATAAAATTGTACAAGAAAATGTCATCATATTGTAAGGCATGAA